ATAGAAAAACATACCGGGCGTTTTTCAACTCACTTTCTTCCACGCACAACCACTCTTTGGAATCAACTTCCAGCAGCAGTATTTCCGAACCGATACGACAACATAACTTTCAAGAAAAGAGCATATTCCTTTTTAAAAGGTCGGCACCACACCTGCAATGCCGTTAGTGTTGTGGGTAATCATAGGCGGCGGTAGTCACTTACCACCAGGTGGCTCGTTTGCCCCTGTGTTGTAAAAAAAATGTATACTCATATAAATATTAAGAAGATATTTAGGAATTTTCATATAATTCTAACAGCAGCAAAATATGTCATGGGTGTTAAATTGGCTTGTTATCCTAAATTTTAATAGTTTAGTATATGATCCATCTCAGAATCAATTTACATTCAAATCTGTTCAGCTGTATGTTCATAATTTTTTCATGAAAATATTTTCAATGATAACCTTGTATTTATAAATATTACAAGTTGATTTTGCTTCGAAAATAAATAATGTTTCGTAGATACATTACATTGAAAATACGTGAAATCGAAGTCGGATATCTACAAGAAAAATAACAGTTTTAATTATATCAAATTTATTAATATGACATTTAATTTGCAAAAATATTAATCGAAATCGTACCAGTACTGTCTTTTGTTCCAAAATTGACGTCGTAGTCTTGTAATATAACTTATCTTTACTTAGATACTTATAATATGAGCAAGTAACTCTGTCTATTACCTTTTTATGCCTAATTTTGATGAAATTTGATATAGAAATAGATCGGACCTTTGAGAAAGATACAAGCAACTTTTTGTTGTGAAAATAAAACTTAAAAGGGGTGAAATAGGAAATGAAATTTTATATCGAGAACAAATCATTTTTCAAATAAGAAGTTGTGGGCATCAGTTAGCAAAAATAAAGACAAATTAAGAAACTATTTTTTTTTTTGTTGGATGGAAATGGAATGGAAACCCCGCTTGCGCTAACGGGATACGCTGGCGGGGCACCAGTGAAGGGTGATCGATGAGAATGAAAACAGGCCAGTTAGCCCATCATGATAAATTCATCTGGAATTAATCATGATAGTTTCGTTTGGTTGGGTATATTGAAATATATTCCATTATTAACAATCCCTTTCCCCCCAAACTACTCTATTTGGCTGTCATTAATATATATTATTATTTTAGTCGTTAACTGTCCACTGCTGGACTTTCCCCTTAGAAATATAATAGGTTAAAAAATTCAATATTAAATTTACGTCTCCCGCCATTAAATAGCTAGCGAACAATAGCGGTCTGTAGAATTACGGTAATGGAGAACCCGGGACTCCAGTGGGGGCTACTACTACGGGTGGCGTTGTACACTAGAGGGGGTGAGTATATGGGGAGGGCTGAGGAGAACAGGGGGGACTAGATGTGCAACATTTCAAGGTCGTTTCGTCTAGATTTTAGCTATTACCTACACTGAGTGAAAACTTGATAGCTGGACTCGCTGTATTCAATTGGTAGATATGAAATTGTGTGAGAGAGTAATTTTTTTTTTTGGAAAACATAATCTTATTTATTTCTAGTATCATTTAAAATTTTCAACTGACTTTTCGGTGGTGGAAAATAAACCATAGCCAAACCAAATTATTTTAGTTACGACGGTAAGCTCACTGCCTACAACATTAAATTCTAATATGTTATCATGCCTAATGTTACATCCATCACAACGGCAACAGTCGATAAATGCCTCTGAAATAGGGTAGCCATTAGGAATTATTATCGTAAACATATTTTTTGAATCTTATATTTATTTCTAAAATCGAAGATGAATATAAAGGGTACTATTGGTCGACTTAATTTATTTATTTATTTTAAAAAACCAACAGCGGTTTATGAATAAAATTAAAAAACATTTTATAACAAAGTAGTATGGCCAATAACAGGTTTTTCTAAATTAATTTTGTAGATTATGTAGTTGACAATTGTTAAAAGAAAAGCAGAAAAAATAAACAAATCAAATAGGTAGGCTATCGTTAAAGACACAATAATATTTTTACAGATTCAATAATAAATATATACATATGCACCAATACACAAATATACGCATACATATACACATACACACTTTAAAAATTTAAGAATATTCTGAGTATAGACTATTTTCTATTTCCTACAGCAACGAGGTAATGGAAGTGAAGATACAGTAAACAGCTAAATACTACAAATTATCGCAATCTTTTTAAAAAATAAAATACAACTCATGTTACTCGCTGATAATGTAGCTTTATGTAGATAAAGGAATTTATAAAATCGTCTATTTCTTTTTTATTTTATAGATTACAAAAAAATCAAATTCTTCTACTTTATACTTAATGTTGATTTAGACAGTAATAACACCTTCTATTTTATTCTTTGTTTTATTCCATTTAGAATTAATTATTATTATAATTAATTTTATAAGGTAATTTGCCTAGGGCATTATAAAAGCATATCGCGGGACAGAGTTGCAGGATTATAAGATCGACGGACGCCAATGACTTGCAATTTGAATATTCATACGCGTAGGTACGACTAATCTTTTACATGGAACGTGACGAGAATTATAATAATGGAATAAATTATAAATTATGTGAAATTCTATTATAATATATTTGGTTCTATTTAAAAAAAATTGTGTACGTGAAAATTTTTAGCGACTTTGAAATAGGGAAACATTTTCATTATGTTTTCGATGTGTACCTATGTGTCGCGATATCTTTGAAGAATCGAATTCTGTAAATACTTTGCCATTAATTTTCGTAGTCGGGATGGTTTATGCGGTGTTGGTTCTGTTTTAATTTTGTGGTTATTGAACCTGCCATTTTTTTTTTGATAAGCAAAATACATTTATAATCATGTGCTTTCGTTTTCTTACTTCAAATGTTTTTAATCTTACGTATCTATAAAACATCTCGTCGTTCATTAATGTGTTTTGTCATGGTTGACTTCAATCTTGTTTTTTTTTTTGTGGAGCAAAATCGAAACAAAATATACTTGTGATAGGTACTTAATTTATTTGATAATGAGTAGGATATATACATTAAAAATTGGTTTTAATCTTTGCCTCTACAATTTTTATCCTCGAACATTCTATGGGTTTCATTCAACTTCACAAAAGTTGACAGAAAGAGATGTCTCGTTGGAATAAGTCCGTTCAGTGTATTATATTTTTTTCATGTATCCAATGTAAAATATGTACAATAATGATTTACAATAGCAACAAATTATTTCTTCGTGTTTAATTTTAAGGTTACCCTTGTATAATCGTATCTTTTGTGCTCTAAGTAGGTACAGAACGTTTTACAACCGATGAGTCAGATGCGCAACTGACTAAATATAATTGGTTAGTTGGTTTAGAAACTTACAAAAATGCACCCTGAAAGGGTTCGCCTCACTATTGGGGTGAGAGAAGTAAAAATCAAAAGTCATGTCACGCGCGGCCCCCACTATAAATGACCTAAGTAAAATTTGTTGAATGACAGCAAATCTATATCTTTCATATTTTAGTTCAAATATTTTCTATATGTCCTTTCATTCACAGATAATGTGCATGATACTATTCATGTCTATTGGTGACGGTTACAACTTTCCATCAGGTGGGCTGTCAGCTTGATACACGTTCTAAGTTGCATTAAAAAAAACCATGGTTAGCCAATCTTATTATTCCGAAAAATCAGATATATACTCAGCGAAATACAGACATCTGTAATCTATTCTTTATTTCTATAAAAATATAGTCTATTTTACAACGTTAACAATCGGGAAAGCACTTCTGATTACATATCTAAATCTATTAACAATCTAAATAATATTCTTCTTTCGTGAAACAATTCTACTTCCATAAACTCAAAATAATTATTAAGATTGTGTTCCACAAAAAAAAAACAACTTCAAAAATTAAATTTGCCACAAGCAAATAGAATTATTTTGATTTAAAAATTTAATTACTGAACCGACTTTAGTAAAATATCTGTGTAACCAATCTGTAAGCAGACAAGTAAATGAATTTTCTAAATCGGTTCACAAATAACGTAGTTATGAAGTAACAAATATAAAAAATTAAATAGAAAAACCACCTTCTTTTTGAAGTCGATTGATTTAATATTTTGTACAAATAGAAGAGCATCTGTTAGCCTGATGATAAGCGACTACCACAGACCATGAACGCTTATAACATACTCGTGTTTTGCCGACCCTTATGACTCCCGAATCTCATGTTCTTGAGTTACTTATTGTCTCCAGGTTTGTAGGATAATATCTCAAAACCAGATTGCCTATCATCTCACGAGCTTCATTTTAGATCTTATCATCGTGATATCGAGGTCAAGCACAGGACCCTTTCACAGCAAAAAAGAACATTACCAAATACATCAATAATTGTGAATGGTGATTCGAACTTGGAATTGAGCTGCTGTTTGATCCCATAGTGTACTGAATGTTGGACTCGAACATGTTTAAATTATCAGATGACTGCAAAAATAAACATAGTAATGCGTATCACTATATTCATTTCAACACAGTAATTATGTGAACATTTACACCTACGTTTATGCCAAATTAGATTTAATGTTTGTTATTCTGAGACAGCAGAACAGCAAATAAGACATTTAAAATTTTTGCAAGATATAGGTCGCTCTAAAATTTAAAAAATTGGAGTGATGTGAGCATCGGAAAAATCTGAATCGAGGATTACTTAATTACTGCTAATAATGCAATATGTATTTAAGAAATAAGTAAACAGAGCAGAAACAATGGTAGACCAATCATCCTCTCGCGCCTGTGTCGTTACCGCATTATTTTATCTAACTCTGTATTATCTAATATCCGATAGAGCGAGTTCAAGGTTGGTCGGGCTGAAAGCGCTGATGTATCGCACGGTCGCATCCACCCGGTGCGGTGCGACGAGCAAGGCAGGCGGGCAGGCCGTCGCGCGCCCTTTGCGCTTTTATCAATACGCGCCCGACCCCAGCGCCGCCTGGCGGCCGCCGACAGTATCGCTTCGGACTCGAGTGCGCACGCTCCGTGCCCCATGACGTTGCCGCATTTGCAATAAAAAACTATCTCCTTCAAAACGATTCCAAAATACGCAAAACACTTCCTAGTTTACAAGGCATGACGTTTCGGGATGCGTCACCACGCGATCCTTCCGCGCTTTTCCTCGGGAAAATCTTAACCTAGAAACAACAAACGATTACGTCAATAGGCGATTTTACTCGCAACCTCTCGACCCCGCACTGTTATTGTTTGTTATTATAATTCCAAATATAATATCCTTCTAAAAGTAGTGTAAACCAACCGCAGCGGTCAGTGGAGCTTTCAAACGGTAAGTGAAGCGTTTCAAGTAATGTTATTGTAAGATCTGAGCTTGTTTATGCTTGAACAGAGTATCTGGAAAGTATTATCTAGGTAATGTGGGCGAATGCGAGTGGTTACTTTCGCTTGATGCACGCTCAAGAAAGAGGTTACTCTCTTTATAATAACTCGTCCAGTTTCAGTAAAGTATTTACTTTTTATTCAGAGAGGTTTAAGTAAGCTTAGCAAATTTTACATATTTGTGCAAGGACTTTATATATATTTTTTCTTGATGCGTAATTATACCTATGACCTGAATTGATTTAACATCTGCTCTTTAATGTGAAAAGGTTCTGTTTTGCTGCACTGTTTATCTTGTTATTTGCTGTCTTAATTTTTCTTTATTTTAGCGTAAGAAGTTAATAACAACCTTATCTGACCCATATTCATGTTAACTTTTTTTATAATAAACACTATCTAATTCTTTTTCTTCTAATCAAATTTCTAAAAGTAAAAGTGAAAAATACGTAGGCTCTCCAGTAATTTGTTAATGAACTAATTAATAATATAAATTAAGAATAAAAACAAAAATAGATTAATGTGGCGACATTCTAAAGTTTATAGGAAATCGCGCATTTAAATTAAATTTACTATAGTTTGATCCATATGTTATAAATATAGAATACACCTACATTCAAGCAAAGTGTTGCAACAACTTGCAGTTAGTAAATACGTTGCTATTTCTGTTAATATAATACCTAATACAATATTTATAAATAGGTATATTGGTATCGCATCTATATGCGTATGTAAGTACGTCGTTAACTTCAATCGATGTTTGCAATCCTAATAACTCCACAATGTTAGTAGGAACAAAAAAGGTCGTACGACTCGCATAAACGCATAATATGCGCCATCGTTTTTACCCAACAACCAATACGTTTTTGCATAATGCACCATGCATTATTTTATAGCCCGACTAGCATTCACGTCGTGAGAATATAGGCCAAGTTCAAGTTCAAGCGATGCAGTCAAGCGAACGCACTTTTTTTTATTGTTGAGGGTGAATTCATAAAACTGGTTTCCATCTGAAATGAACCACAAATTATTACCGATATCACAAACTGTCTATTCATTCGACTATTTGTTTCCTGCATGAAAAGAACACGATCTAGTTCTTACAATAAAGGAACTAGACTATTTATACAATGTGACTATTCGAGTTTTGGCAAAGCATTGAAATATCGCCTTGTATGGGGGAATGAATAGGTATTAATGTTATATGAAATACATATTATGAAGAGGATCTAATAATAGCAAAATGATATTTCATATGAAATGTTAACAATTGCATCAGTGTTAAAGGTTAGATAAAAAAAAGGCTAACTACAAGAATTAGTCTGGCAAAACATTTTTTGTGTATTTGTTACCTCTTAACACCTTAGCAGCTTAATGATTAGTAATATAGATAAAATTTTGTATATTCGTACATGTACAAAGAATATCCATTTCAATTGCTAATAATCAATTTAATAAATTTAAAGTTCTGAGAGTACTTTAATATATTTAATAAAGAAAATATTATGTAGTACTGGGAGAGTGTAGGACACTTTTATTAGGTATTTCGGATACAATATTACAATACAAAAAAAAAAAACACGCCTGTTTAGCACGGTAATTCAAGCAAAGGGGGTTGCCATGACACAATAATAAAATATTAAATATATGTCGGGTTGCCAACAGATATCATGTAATAATTTAAAATAATACTGCCGAAATTTTCTTTCTTCAAATTCCGTTAAAGTTGCTATGATAAATCTAAACTTTAAATGGAGTATTAGACTATAATTTTGATTGATTAAGCGAAAATTGCCTTAATTTGTTTGCGTACATATTTTGAAATCGTTAAATGAAGTGTCTATTTTAATTCCTGTGTAGGTGTGACCCGTCTGACATCTGGCAACTGGTCTCAGGAACTACAATTTTGTTGGAGAATAACTTACAATTCATTTTATAAACGAGGGATTACAGTTAACAGAGCAAATATTAAAAAAAAAACTGACAGAGGTAAATATAGAATCAAGAAGGTATAGAGTAAAAAATGATACAAAAATAACAGAAAAAATAATGAAGTAGATTAACGAGATAATGTTCTTAATAAAAACGTATAACTAAATAAAAATTGGAATACTTCAGGAGGAGTGGGTATCTTTTTATTATTCTAACTTCTTTTTAATATAAAGAACGGCATCAATTAAATGAAACTGAAAAAAGGGCTTATAGGTATCATGACTATAATCCTTTTATTTTTTGAATTTCATTATTCCCTCCTCATTATTCCATCCATATATAATAGAATTCATATTTCAAAATAGGTTAAAAAGTATATAAAAAAATATTAGATAATTTATGTTAGTGTACATGTATATTTTTTTTTTATGCAACTTAGAATGGCAAATATGCTGACGACCCACTTGATGGAAACTGGTAACCGTCGCCTATAGACATGAGCCTAACCATGGACATAACAGAGTATACTGTTTTGCCAATGATACCCCCCATGCGTCGCCATTCCTGAGGACTCAGGTGTTATTCATGTACATATATATATATATACAACTATAACCACACTACCTGTGCGATACATTACTATAGTATGTGATATGTATTTGCGAGCGACAGCGTGCAAGTTAACACATAGGTTTAGTGTTACAGTGCACAGATAAATTATGTCTTATGATATGACAAAATGGCTAAAGATTTTTAAATTGAAATACAATGATATTGAATTTTGAAAATAATAATTATATTATAGTGGTAGTACAGCTAAATTGTACTGTGATTAAAACTAATATTTTTGCCCGCGACTTCGTCCGTATAGATTTTGAAAATAGGTACACATAGGTGGCAAATCAAAATAAAACATACAATAGATTATAAGTTTTATCTTCAGGAATATAAATATACAACCATATTTATTATTTTAAATAGGTATCTATCTAAGCGACTTTTTATTCATGTAAATTATATAGGTAGAGTATAATATCAGATCTTTATATTTTCTTCAAAGATAAAAAAGTACAAAGACAAATATGAAAAAACGTTTTATTATATTCCAGCAGCTTATTTTATTTTTATGCTCTGGCTTTATTTAATTCTATTATTCTATTTAGTATGTTTTTTATAACTGAAAAATAAAAAAAATACTTGCTAATAGATATTTCGAATATGTTATCAATTGAATATTATTGTAACTATTGACAGCTCAATCAAGCGTCATTAATTTTAGAATACATAATATTTGGGATGGAGAAAGATATTTAATTTCTATCCAGACCAAGAATTTTGTGTATACCAATTTCATCATCATTTCAGCCGTTGATTGTCCACTGCTGAACATAAGCCTTCTTTATAAGGACAGTTTTGCCAGTAGTTGCCACACTTGGCAGGCATATGTGTATACCAAACATCATATTAATTAGTCGATTCAGGTGCCAAGCAATAATAAAAAGATCTTACTTTCACATTTGTAAGATTAATAAATAACTATTCAAATTACTGTCAAAATGAAACGGTGATAAATTAACAAATATTAATATAGTAGATAAATCTTTCTAAAAATAAACTTATAATGGAATAAAATAACATATTTCTTAGAATATTAACTTAGCAACAGCGTCTACTAGCAAATATTCATACAATAGCTATTTTGTTTATGCGATAATGAAGCCAGTTATAAACAGGTTAACCTTGGAACTCTCTTAATATGTAGAGTGTCGTTACAATATTGAATAAGTTATATCCAATGGTTTCGATATTTAGTGATTATTTATTTTAATTTTATTTTTAAAAGACCACATGAATAACTACTATATTACTATTAAATTAAATTCTGATTCCACCTAAAGACTACCTCAAGATGTGTATGGTATGAGGAACGCATAGATAACATAATTCGTTTTATAAAGAATGTGGCGGTCAGTTTGGTATTATTGGATCATTTCAAGTTGTATAAAAATTAAACTTGAATAAATTCTTCAACTTCAACAATTTATTGCGATGCTTTTATATTATATTGTCGTGTGGTCCAGGCATAGAATAAGCCATCTCTCCCTTTCCCGTGAGTGTTGTAAGAGGCGGCTAAGAGAGGGCGACGGATGGACAGCAGTGTCCCTCTTAAAACATCTCCAAATCCTAATTGCGGTTACCAATCTGCCTGTTAAGTATGGCAACTACCGGCAAAACCCCCCACGGGGAAGGCTTATGTTCAGCAGTGGACATTTAAAGAATAATATAATGATTATGATGTTGATGATGATTGCGATATTTTGTAAAAACCGTAAATCGAAGCCATTGTAAAAATAGCCGTACCTGTGTCTTTCTTTATTCCATAAGCAGAAACATGGGTGGAAAAGAGGTACCCAAGTAGTTAACTTTTGTACAAGGTCTCTTTCTAGTGAAACTTATATTGACTTTCACCTTAAAAATTTCAACATGTCTACCGTTTCATTTTCCTTAAAGAATAGATTTTTATAACCTAGTAAATAGCTAGTGTTACTTACCAATTTTTCATCTATACCTTTTTGCATTACGCAATGACCTGTCCAAGTCATTTTATTTGTTTGTATACCAGTAACGTACGTATTAGAATTTAGATATTTTATTATTTATTTTATTTAATTAATAAAAAAATTTCAAGTAAAATACAGTAGCATAAAGTACAAATAAATATAGTGCTAGGTTTTCCACTTATTGATCAATGTACGGCCCTTTGTAATTTATATTTTGTTGTTAACTATAGATTACATGGTTTCAACTCTTTGATATACTTCATATGAATTTAGTATAGAATGTATTTGAACAATAACTATTTCACAATACGAAATCCCACATATTAGTTACATGGAAATACTTTGATCCAGATTGTTGGCGAATTTCAAACTAAAGAACACTCATTGTGAGGTAGTATGTCAATCAGGTTTCCTTCTTTATTATATAAGTGATTTATTATTGACTTATTATTGTTGTCCC